AAAGTTATCACATTTCCGAAATTTGTAAAATTTGATTTATCAGAACCTTATATGTATTTTCAAAACTACAAGCATTTCCAAATTTCTTTAAATACAGAAAACTAAATACCTTGTAATCAAAAAATATAATTATTTATTTTAATTGAATATCAACCCTTCAATTCACCATGTTAACGCCTTTTTTTAGGTTTTTCTTTTTTGCGTCATCCTAAATATATGCAATAATTTGAAATATTTTGACATATGAATGAAAATAATTTTAATAATAATGTATGTACATTATTAAAATTATTTTCACTAAATAGTAGATTGTTTTTAAGAGCAACATTTTCACTTGGTGAATGAAAAAGTCTCACTTTGAAAACCATTGGTTGCCCAACTACTTTATTTATAATAAAAAATATAAGATAAGAACGTACTTTTTCTGCAAATAAAAGAATCGCAATTAATTATCCGTACTCCCTCGAATTTAGAATAATTTTATTTTTGTGTAAATTTAAAAAATTAACCCAAACTGATTCATGGATTCGAATTTTTTCTGTATAGTCACAATTAAAATGGTATAAATTCAATATTATCACCCAAATCGTTAAGAGTTGTTATTGAAATTATTTCATTTATTAAATAGTCATAAAAACGTTATTCGTGGAGAACCTCATGGAATTCCAAAATCGGATTTTGATCTACTTATAATATATACAATTAAATATAAGTGTATATATACGTAATATATACATATATGACATATTTATACGAAAAAAAGGACATAACATAAAAAATTTCCAAATATGAAAATGAGTGTATTTTTATGGTATTTATCAAAATATTGGTTGTATAAAAAACATACGGTAAATATTCTTAAATATACACACATAAATACATACACATACACAAGAAATATTAACATTTTATACTTATATTCGTTCAAAAGAAAACTCTTCTTGTAACTTCCTTTAATTCATTTAGTACGTATGTTATACAAGGCATTTACTTGAAAACTCCACTTAAAGAACTTTCTAAGGTGTCTCCTATACCATTAACTCCTTTTTATTTACGGTATCTAATGCATAACCACGTGTATAATATAAACATATATTTCGTATATATTGAATTGAATAATATATATGTACAAATATACTTATATTTACACAGATGTTTATTTCATGATAGAACATAATTATATATATTTAGTTAAAGAATTGACCTCAACAATAGTAAAAGTATGGAAAAAGAAATTACCGCGCACAAAGGAACATTTGTATACTGAAGATTTTAATAGATAACGGTTAAAAAGGAATAAAACATAAATCTATATGTATAACTATGACGTACGTACACATGTGTTTGTATATAAATGGGAATTTTGTTTTAAATACAATATCATATAGATTTTCTTTTTTTTCTTCCACATAAACGCAAATATTTATAGCATATAAAATAACGAAGTTTGATCGAACCAATGGTTAGTAAAGAAGTACATTTCCCTTAAACGATTAAAAGCATTTTTTTCTTTTCTTGATGACATGAAACGTCGCCAAATTATATACTCTTAGGAGAAAAACTAAAACTAAAAGAGACAGTATGATGGTTATGGTAATTCATTAGATGATGTAATTTAAATTTACTGTACCTCCTTACTTTTATTGGAATTTGACAAAACTTATAGCTTCAATGAAATTCCAAATAAAATTGACGAATGGTAGGAAAATATGTTTTGCACAAAAATCATTTTGCGTATGAATTTCATTATTAAAAAATGTAGAAATTTTATAAACGAAAATGTATCAAAGAGTAGACGGACGAACGGGCAGAGTATAACTGATAAACACATTTTCCTCCAAAATAATAATTTCATAACAATTACAAATTTGCAATTGAATATTTTCAAAAACAGTTGTTAGTCACATTACATATTACAACAAACTGCTATAAAGAAATCATTATCCATTCTACAGGATGCTAACAAAAATCGTTAACTAAAGAGGTTGGTATTTCTCACTGATCCTTTTGACCAGATTCGAACTAAATACTATGACATAAAAATATTTTATGTCATAGTATCCTTTAGTATTGTAAATCGTATATTCTTAATTAAATAATGAAAATTAAATAGTTCCTTTCGTATATCAATTTTTTTACATCAAAGCAGATTCAGATCTGACAAAAAATAGATTCTATTTAGTTCATTTTTTACCTCAAAGCTTTTACAGCTAAAAATTTGGGTTCATTTCGAAATTCATGGAAAAAAATCCGGTTTACTATTTTGACACTTCAAATTTGAATTGTCCTTTTATGATAGAATAATCTAAATAATATTGTGTTCATTTTTAAAATCACAAACGTCAGACTAGCAAAATTTTTAATTTTATCAGAGCGTTCTCTGGCAATTCGGAATCTGTTCAGATCTGCTTCCAAGCTAAAAAACGAAAACGCCCATTACCTTAATAAACAAAGCTAAAGAAAATTATGGCGTTAAATCCAATTAACTTTCTGTAAATTTTATTTCTCCAACAAAGAATGTGTCTTACATATAAGAAATAAACAAACACTTAAACAAAGTTAATTAATATTTAATATGTAGTAAATAAAGTTCCAAAAACTTTGATTCGAAAAAAGTTCGTACTCTAATTAAATGTCTACGAGTACATACATACATACTAAATAAATTAATATTATATTATAAGTCAATCATAGTAACTTTGTTTTTAATTACAATTAATAATTAAAACGTTGACAAGTTAAAACAATACAAAATGTCATATATGTACATATTAAGATGACAATGACTTGAAATTTATACAAAATACTTCGTATATATTGTAACTTGAAGGTTAATTAATCTTTGAAAGTCCTTAAAAATATAAAAACAAGACTTAATTAATAATTTTCATAATAAAAAATATATGTAGTAATAACCATGCGGAAGCGCATGTAATTATGTAGGTTATAATATATACAAAGTAAATGCTTACAAAAATCTATGCATTTTATTAAAAATTCTTTATTCCAGGAACTTTTTACTAAAATGCAATTAAATCTTACAGTTAACGAAGTTTATATATTGTGGCGAAACACTTTGGATATTTCAATAAACACAGTCAAAACACTTTTCACTATAGAAATATTGACCTCAACACCATAGACGAGTATATTTTGTAGTTTTAAACACAAATGATTTATTGTTACTTTAAAACAAAAACAGAATATTATTAAATAAATATATGTATCTCAATTGTATATGTATACAATTGTTTTACACACACATTTTAATTAAGATTATTATTTTCATTGGTATATTAACTTTTGACAAAACAATTTAATTAACAATGACCAAAACTTTTACTATGTGTATACTGTGTTTTACAAATATTTTCATTCGCGTATAAGTATTTGTGTGCCTTCCAATTACATACTAAAATGTTTCACATTAAGTAATAAAAAATATGTTTTTTACGTTTAGAAATACGTTTTGCCCTCTCAAAAAGCGATACAATTAAGATATTAAATTAAAAGAAAATAAAATTTTATTTCACATATAAATAACTAATTACATATTATTTTTTCTCTTAATCGAAAACCAATAATCACAAAAAATAAATCGAAAACGATTGTAATTTTAATACTTAAAGTTAAATAATAATTTTATTATAGAAAAGGCATTAGTAAATTATATATAAATTTACATCAAAATTAAATATCTTAATATAGCGTTATTTAGATTACAGTAATCAATTTTAAATATGAAACAACAAGAATGTTTTCAGATTTATACACCATATAATTTATGACAATACTGCGTCACAATTTTAGCGAAGATTTATTGATAAATTGTTTTTATTTAACATTTTGAATGGATAAAATATAATGATAATTTAAAATTATTTACAATAAGAATGATTTAAAATTTGTAACTAATGTTAAATATTTTAAGAGATGAATTAAAAAGTCAAAAACTAAAGCAAATGGAAACAAAATTTTCCAATAAACGGTTTATTAATTTTTAAAAATGATTGAATTTTTTTTTAAACAAAAGGTAAGTTAATTTAATTTAAACCAAGCACACTAATTAATACATTATTAACCATAAAAAATTAACGATTTAGTTTAGATTATTTCAAAAATAACGGTAAATCAATAATATTTTCATTTATATTACTGTAAATTTTTGAAATATGAAACAAAATATTAATACATACAGCACTGAACCTACAATTTGATGTTTCAATACTAAATATTGAAACTTTTTTAATTTTTCTATCGTGAATTCATTTATTGTGAACGTTTTACAATTCATATTAATTGTAGATGTCGCCTGCTATGCATAATATATAATTTTCAAATGTCATGACAAAATTTTATATGAACATTGAGAAATCAAAAATACAAACAACTTTAATGATATTTCACCAAGTTTGATGAATTTCAAAAAAATATTCTATTATTTTGAAAAGGTTTTGTTATAGTTCTTTAAATTTTAAAAACAAAATTTTCTCAAAAACTCAAAATTTCATTGAATTTTTTAAAAATATTTATTCGTTATTCTATTCGATAGTTTTTGCCCTTCATCACTAGAGTTCGCATAAAAAAATAGAATTTGACTCTTTTTCACGCGATGCGCAAAAAAAAAATATGTGACATTTTAATGTGTCTAGGATATCGTTTGTTTTATACGGACTGTTTATACTCCGATATTTAAATATTTTCATTTGTTAAATGGAAAATTTAATTGCCTCATTATACAATTTTGTTTAGCAAACAAAAATTAAGCATATTAAAATTAAGTAATTTATTTCCAAACTACAAATAATTTAAAATTAAAAACAAAAAGCGCTAAAACATGTTAGAAATTTTCATAAATATAAATCTGTTTTCTACTACAATAAATCGACATTCAACTATCACACCAGCTTTTGATTACCGTACCGCTGTCGTTAATAAATTGTCATCTTTCGTCAGTCTTGTTTTTGTTTTTGTATAGTTAAGTTGTAAAATTTGTCGCTTTCGTCTTTGTGTGTAATAAAATTCAAACAATTAATTAAAAAAAAATCTATTTAATTTATGCAAGTATGTGACATATTCAAAATGGAAAAAAAATAAAATTCATATTTCACTAAACCATAAAAATATAATCAAAAAATTTCAAATATCAATAAATTTGAGCCTTCAATAATAGTTACTTAAAATACCTCTAGAAAAAAAAAATTAATAATGTTTTTATCTAATTAATTTGTACTTCATAACTTAATGAATTTTTTCTTCTAAAAATTATTTAAAATTTTGTTAAAAATTTTGTGATTGAGAAAAATTTGAGATTTCGAATTTGAAAATAATTAACATAGCGAAGAAATAAAAATGGTTGTAAATTTTAATTCCTGTATTCTTCGTCCAGACAAGGAAGTAAAATAATTTTTTTTTTTTTTGGAATTTTTTCTCTTAATTGAAGTAGGGTGAGGTCGAGGTCGTTATGTCTAATATATTATAAATGTAAAATAATAAACTTATTTAGTAAGTATTTAGAGAGAAAAAACAAAAAAAAAAAAAAATAAAGTGCATTAAAAATCCAGCCAGCCCCCGTCCAAGACAAGACAACAAAATTTGTACCTTCAAGAAAGAATAAAAACAAAAAAAAAACTACATATATATTTTTAATAAATAGATTTTTTGAAAAATAAGAAAAGAAATTGAAGAAAATGATGTGATTGACCTAAAGAATAATAATTGTGAATCTAAAATAACTTAGTATACTTAATTTTTTTGTCATGTTTTATTTTTTTTTTATAAACAAAATTGAGTAAACTTTTATTACAATTCAAGTATGAGAAAAATTTCGCCCACATTAATATTTATAACATTATAAAATAAAATTGCGACATAGATTTTAAAATTTTTTTTAAACGTGAGAAGAAAAAGTGCGAGTTTCTCTAAAATAAAATTAATTACTTACTTATAAAAGAAAAAAAAAATATTTTTGAGAAATTTTCATTTTTGAGAAAATTGTGAAAAATTTCTTAATAAAAATAAGTTTATTTATTTACTAACAATAAATTATAAGAGAGAAAAATTATAAAAATTTTATGGATAACTATAAAATTATGGATTTGTAAGTACTCAACCGATTTCTTACCAGTTACCTATTTTGTTTCTATAGTTATGTTTTGTAGTTACTCTGTAATGTAGGTATTTCTATTAAAATTTGTAATTTGTACAATTGATTCTTTTCAATTTTATTTTTTAATTCCACTGTCTTTTATGTTTTTATTTAAAACAATTAAAAAACTTATCAATATTGATAAGATAAAACGTAGGTATGCAGGTGGGTTGGCACCTACATATTACTTATGTTAGAATCAGGTTAGCTGTAATTACAAATAAAATGGATGATATTATTCAATATAATACAAACAAGTGCTTTAAATGATATCAATTAAAAAATATTTAAATACAATGGCAAATAAAGTACAAAAAATATTGTAAGAATAACAGCAGGGAGCATTTTATAGCTGTAACTAATTACTTTTCTAGATTCTAGATTGTTAACAAATTAAATGAGAAAAAATGTTTTGTTTTTTGTTAAAAACTTTAAATAGACTGCTACATTATCTATATTCTTTGTTTTTCTAGTTATAGTTCCGATTAAAATGGTGCTTAATAAATAACTTAAAATTTAAAATAAGCTTCGGTTCCTGGGAAATTACTTATTGTTTTTGATAAAAAAATATTTTCAATACTACATTTGATTAAATATAAGAAATAATTATTTATGCTACCAATTTTTATAAATATACAGTCCGATATCCGATTTTGCTTATAAGCAGATTCAGTTACAAGCTTCTAAACGAAAATTTTGCTTCTTAACGGATTTTATAACCCATGTGGGTACAAAAAGCTCAAAAGAATATGCAAATAAATTTTCGAATAGATATTTATGGCTTTAGCCGTTGGGTTTGCTTATAAATTTTTTGTTTATAAAAGCTTAATGTTCATATAGCCAGTGGATAGAAAAATATGGTGGTGATTAAACACCCTCCCTCGCCTTTATAATACATAAGTAATTAAACAATATGTTTACTAGTTAGGTACTATTTTTGTGCATAACAAAGTTTTAAAATAATTTATACCCGATAATTTCCTAGCAAATTATTAACATTTATCTAAATATTTTATTTTTGCCATATTTCACCTATTTGCTGCTTTACTTATTGGTATGATTACATATCTACTTTAATATTTTGAGTAAAAAAGAAACATTTTTTGCTATCAGAAATATTTTGTCTTTGAAATCATTTCTATTTAAACACTTAAAAAATATATTAAAAAAATTTTTGCGAAAATTTTGCACTAAAATTCGGAGAGTTGTCCTCTAAATAGAAAAATATTTTATTGCAAATAATCAAAATGCTAAAAACAAAATAAAAATTTAGTATTGTATTTGTACCAAACTATATTCAATTATATATGAAAAAAATATTGGAAGTAAATATATAAATAAAAAAACTTATACACGTATATGTACAAGTATGTATATATATATATATATATATATATATATATATATATATATATATATATATAGAAAGAGTTCATGGGAAAACTTTGCTTTTGTCTTTTTTTATTTTTGTTTTTATCGCGAAAATTTTTATGCAAATTCTCATGCCAAGTGTATAAATTAACAATTGAAATTAAAATTTAAAAATATAAAACAAGAAAAGAAAAAGTGTGAAATTATGCGAAAATTAAATTTTTGTTTTTTTTTGTTTTTAATTGATGAAAAAACATTATTTTTAATTTAATTATTATAATTATTGAAAATTTTTATAAATAACTAAGTAGGAAAATTTATTAAAAATATTAAAACAATTATGAATTTTTTAGTATTCAAATATATTTTATGTATTTAGAATGTTACGTGCGTGTAATTATATTTAATTAGTAATTATATATTTTCAAAATATTTAAAAAAGTAAGAACTACCTAGGTAATTAACCTAACTATTTAATTGATTTTGATTTCTTATTAAATTTTCGTTATACATTTCATCACTGCCATAAAAACAATAGGAGTTTCCATTAATTGAAATTTAAATAATGCAGAAATGATAATAGAACTTAATTTTCCTCCAACCTAGTGAACGACCAAAGGAAATTTTTCTTGTAAAACATTGAATTTATTTTGTTGTTCGGAAATATTTAATAAAATTTTATTGTTTCATTCAAAAATTAAAATTTAATAAACAATAAAACCAACAAATTTTAATTATTTTTTAAAATAAAATCAAATTTTTTTTTAAATGTCATTTTAAAAAATTTTTATTACGGTGAAAGAAATTTTTAACATACATATGTATGTACAAATTCCTCTGATTTCATCAATACATTGATGCACGAGTTTTTGCGATAATCACTGAAAACTCATAAGTAATATGAATAAAATTTTCACTAATGAAATTTGGAAAAAAATATTGTCTAAATACTAAGTAAATTTAAAATTATTTTTAACAAATAAGTATAGCAAATTAGTATTTACTTAAGTTACTATTGTGTGAACAAAATAATTGACCAACTATCAAGGAATGCGTTGACAATTGTAAATATACGTTAGTTACGAGTATTAAAATAAGTCGTAAACGAATAAAAATTAAGTCACGTGATTAAAACAAAAAATTATCAACAAAACTTGATTATGATAAAGATTTTATATAATTACTTAAAATTGATAAAGAAATATTTTTTTTATTTGTGTTTAAGTAAACAGAACTGCTAATATTGTAATCAGTCAAAAAATATGTAGATATTAAGATAAATAAGTAACTGACTACTTAAATGGTTTATGCTTAATTAAAATAATAAAGACAGTTGCTTATTTGTCTTGTATTATTGTTGTAAATTACAAATGTTTTTTTAGATAAATTTAGAATACTTAACTATCAGTAGTAGGTAGGTACGCCAAACATATAATAAATTAATTTTCAATTAAATTATTTTAATAAAATTTTGAAATAAAAATTCTACTTAGTTTTAGTTAATTTTAGTTTTTGTACGCATTATTTGTACATAGTAGTTGTTAAATATATGAAAAAGTATTATCTTCATTTCTAGAATGGTATTTAATCCATACCTACTTACCTAATTTAAAATCCCAATAATGCTTCCTTAATTATTTTAATTCTTCTTATTTATTCTCCTTCGTTTTTTGTTTATTCTGCATTAAATAAATTATTTGATAGTTTTCTTTCAATTTTCTTTAAGAATTTAATTAAACGCATTTAAATCTTTAAATGTTTTATATTTTATGTACTTGTATAACTATATAAGTATAATATAATATTTTAATTGTGTGTCAATTATATATCATAAAAGAAATAAGTAAAAAAGAAAATTTAAGTACATAATTGAATTTTTTTTTAATAAATTTCAATAGATTTATTTTAGCAATATGGTAATTCCCGACACAATAAATTTTGAAATAGCATGTATTTTTAATATTAAAATAAGTATGTATGTGTGTATGTAAATAAATTTGAAAAATAATGTCAAACGTCAGTTTTGTGTTGATGAAGTAGTTATAGCTAAAATTGGGGTCATTTATAATTTTATGTTTCTATACTTACTTGAAAGAATTTTTAATTTTCTTTTTGATATTTTCTTTTATTTTCTTAAATATTAAGTATAATATAATATATTTTTGTTATTTTATGAGAAATAAAAATGTTAAACTGTACAATATTAAACAAAAATGACATATGTATGAATGTGTTTATATATTATACTTATATGTATACGTATGTTTATGATAGGTCTTTGGATGTTTGAAAATAAAATTTGGAAAATCTTTTAAAAAATCTTAAAATTAGTACACAATAAATTTTACCTTCATAAAATTTATGTTTTCATTAAGCATATTTTAGTGTAATTAATTTTTTTTTTATTACATATTTGAAAAGTCTACTCTTCAAGATATTTATTTAATTATCTACATACACACATATTATTTTTTAACAGCCATGATAGCGTTAATTCAAATTACTCTTTTAGAATTAAAATAATTTCGTATAATATATATGTAAGTGTGTGTAATAAAATGAAGAGTTTTGTATAATACAGAGAAAATAAGCTACATACGTGTATATTAGAAAATTCCGATTTATTTCGTAAAAAAAAAGGGCTGGTTATTGCAAATAAATTACAAACATGTACTTGAATCTGCGTAGTCAGTACATGTGTAGGAAATAAATTGAAAAGACTGGAATGCTTCAATATTTTGAAAATTCTAGTCCTTATATAAAAATTTATTATGAAAATGATAGTCACTTGCTGTGGAAAGGATCATTTTAAAATCTTTAAAAATCGACCGAAATTTATTAACGGTTCTTGGGGAAAATCCAGCATGCGTACGCATATCTAAAACTAAAAAAAATTGATTTATTACTGCAAAAATTTATCGTTTTTTCTGCAGTAGTAAAAAGTTTTTAGAGGTCTTTAGCTAAGTTATTTTTAAAATGCAGTTCTAGTACTTAATTGAAGTTGTCATTATACTCTATTTGTCTTACATATTAAGTATATTGTATTTCATTATTAGTTGTCATTATTTGTATTTGGCTTAAATACCATTATTAAAAAAATAGGTTTTCAAAAAAAATATCCAAAATATAGCAGAGTTCCAATATTTTCCGTTTTGTAAATTTCTAAAGTTTATTAATCTTTACCAAAAAAAAAAAGAGGAAAAAACCTACTCCAGTAAATCTTCTATATCACCATTTTCCATCCTGTTTACTCGTAAAATTGAGTTGAGCTAGCGCAGTTACAAAATTGAAAATGCGATGTTGTGTGAAATTTTTGAATTGTCGCACACAGTTCTACAGTTTTACAATCACTACTTTGCTGTTAAAGAAGTTCTTATTAAACATAAACATTGTAATCTAGTATTCAGTTAGGACTGCATTTTTAGAAGAACAACTCATCAAGATTCACAACTAGCCAATATCTACTTATTTATTTTGTATTTTATATATCATATGTATAACATATGAATATATATATATGTATATGGTCCATACCATATCAATACATTTAATGATTTTTGTTTTTAATTTTGGCATTCTTT